GCTTGAAACTTTGATCTAAATAATTATGAATTTAAACTATACTCACAAACTGTAATACATTATAATTAAATGAAAGAAATATTATTAAATATAAGATTGGCTTGAAACTTTGATCTAAATAATTATAAATTAAATTATACTCACACCCTGTAATACATTATAATTAATGAAAGGAGTATTATTAAATATTAGATTGGCTTGAAACTTTGATCTAAATAATTATGAATTTAAATTATACTCACCACCTGTAATACATTATAATTAATGAAAAAAGTATTATTAGATATTGGATTGGCTTGAAACTTTGATCAAAATAATTATGAATTTAAATTATACTCACCACCTGTAATACATTATAATTAATGAAAAAAGTATTATTAGATATTAGATCGGCTTGAGACTTTGATCTAAATAATTATGAATTTAAATTATACTCACAGCCTAAAATATAAATTATATTAAAATTAATGAAAGAAGTATTATTAAATATTAGATTGGATTGAAACTTTGATCAAAATAATTATGAATTTAAATTATACTCACCCACTGTAATACATTATAATTAATAAAAGAAGTATTATTAGATATTAGATTGGATTGAAACTTTGATTTAAATAATTATGAATTTAAATTATACTTACATCCTAAAATATAAATTATATTATAATTAATAAAGAAGTATTATTAGATATTAGATTTGCTTGAAACTTTTATTTAAATAATTATAAATTTGAATTATGCTCACATCCTGTAATATATTATAATTAATGAAAAAAGTATTATTAAAAATTAGATTTGCTTGAAATCTTGATCTAAATAATTATGAATTTTAAATTATACTCACACCCTATAATACATTATAATTAATAAAAAAAGTATTATTAGATATTAGATTGGCTTGAGACTTTAATCTAAATAATTATGAATTTAAATTATACTTACCCACTGTAATACATTATAATTAATGAAAAAAGTATTATTAGATATTAGATTGGCTTGAAACTTTGATCTAAATAATTATGAATTTAAATTATACTTACATCCTAAAATATAAATTGTATTATAATTAATAAAGAAGTATTATTAGATATTAGATTTGCTTGAAACTTTTATTTAAATAATTATAAATTTAAATTAAGCTCACGTCCTGTAATATATTATAATTAATGAAAAAAGTATTATTAAAAATTAGATTTGCTTGAAACTTTGATCTAAATAATTATGAATTTAAACTATACTCACAAACTGTAATACATTATAATTAAATGAAAGACATATTATTAGATATAAGATTGGCTTGAAACTTTGATCTAAATAATTATAAATTTAAATTATACTCACACCCTGTAATACATTATAATTAATGAAAGGAGTATTATTAAATATTAGATTGGCTTAAAACTTTCATCTAAATAATTATGAATTTTAAATTATACTCACAGCCTAAAATATAAATTACATCATAATTAATGAAAAAGTATTATTAGATATTAGATTGGCTTGAGACTTTGATCTAAATAATTATGAACTTAAATTATACTTACCCACTGTAATACATTATAATTAATGAAAAAAGTATAATTAGATATTAGATTGGCTTGAAACTTTGATCTAAATAATTCTGAATTTAAATTATACTCACAATCTAAAATATAAATTACATTATAGTTAATGAAAGAAGTATTATTAGAAATTAGATTGGCTTGAAACTTTGATCTAAATAATTATGAATTTAAATTATACTCACATCCTGTAATACATTATAATTAATGAAAAAAGTATTATTAGGAATTAGATTAGCTTGAAACCTTGATCTAAATAATTATGAATTTTAAATTATACTCACTTCCTGTAATAAATTATTATTAATAAAAGAAGTATTATTAGATATTGGATTGGCTTGAAACTTTGATCAAAATAATTATGAATTTAAATTATACTCACTCCCTGTAATACATTATAATTAATAAAAGGAGTATTATTAGATATTAGATTAGCTTGAAAATTTGATCTAAATAATTATGAATTTAAATTATACTTACCCACTGTAATAAATTATAATTAATGAAATAATATTATTAGATATTAGATTGGCTTGAAACTTTGATCAAAATAATTATGAATTTAAATTATACTTACAGCCTAGAATATAAATTACATTATAATTAATGAAAAAAGTATTATTAGAAATTAGATTGGCTTGAAACTTTGATCTAAATAATTATGAATTTAAATATACTCACCAACTGTAATACATTATAATTAATGAAAGAAATATTATTAGATATTAGATTAGCTGAAAATTTGATCTAAATAATTATGAATTTAAATTATACTCACGTCCTGTAATACATTATAATTAATGAAAGAAGTATTATTAGATATTAGATTGGCTTGAAACTTTGATTTAAATAATTATAAATTTAAATTATACTCACCACCTGTAATACATTATAATTAATGAAAAAAGTATTATTAGATATTAGATTGGCTTGAAACTTTGATTTAAATAATTATAAATTTAAATTATAATCACATCCTGTAATACATTATAATTAATGAAAGAAGTATTATTAGATATGAGATTGGCTTGAAACTTTGATCTAAATAACTATGAATTTAAATTATACTCACAGCCTAAAATATAAATTATATTATAATTAATGAAAGAAGTATTATTAGATATTAGATTGGCTTGAGACTTTGATCTAAATAATTATGAATTTAAATTATACTCACGTCCTGTAATACATTATAAATAATGAAAGAAATATTATATATTAGATTGGCTTGAAACTTTGATCTAAATAATTATGAATTTAAATTATGCTCACGTCCTGTAATATAATATGAATAATGTGAATATGTGAATTAATAGTAAAATCACGAAATATATAATTAACACATAATCATTTGAATGAAATTTTGATTTCAATAATTAAATTACTCACTCAAGATCTTTTATAACTTTCTCAATGTTTGGACGTTGATCTGGGTCTTGATTCCAACAATCTATTGAAATATGTAATTGGAATAAATATATTGATTAATTGTATTGAGACAAAGTTGAAAATTCATTTTTTTATAAATTAAATAATTTAAATGATAAGAGCAAACCTTGATAGATCTTAACATAATTTTGTGGTGTTCCTTCAATTGGAATTTCTCTTTTTCCCTGAATAATATAAGAAATTAAATCTAATTTTTCTAATCCATCTTGTAATCCAGTTTTATATGAATAATATGGAACTTTTCCACTTGTGATTTCCCACAGTAAAATTCCAACACTATATATGTCAGATGCTTTAGTCCTGCTAAATTTTCCCTCTGCTTTAAGAAGCATTGGATCTGAGTACTCAATTAATCCCAAAGAATTTAATAAATCAATTGAAGGTTCAATAACGAGTTTGGATATTCCAAAATTACTAATCTTAACAGTCTTATTATGAATAAGAATATTCTCCGAATTCTTTTAAATAAAATTAATAAAATTATATTAGAATTAAAAAAAAAAAATAATTGTTCATTATAAAAAATTCAAATTTAAGCAATTACCATATCTCCATGAATGATATCAGATGAATGAAAATATTTAATTGCTTTAGCAATTTGTTGAGCAAGTTTTAACTTGTCGTACCAATCAAGTTTTTGAAAATTAGATTTCAAATAATTACGTAATGTTTCACCATTTGAATATTCCAATACAAGTATATAATTGCTACTATTCAAATCTGTATCAAAAATATATAATTATATAATTTGATAAAAAATATTTATTAATTAAATTTAATTTGGAATAGATTTGATTTAATTTTTACCTTTTTGTGAAATTCCATAGAATTTTGTGATGTTTTCATGTGATTTGAGATTGAAATGCTTTTTAAGCTGAAAATGTAAAATATTCAATTTAATAAATTTCGAATTTTTAGTAGTATTTTATATTAATTATAACAGTTTTACCTCATTAACAAATAATTCCATAGAATTAACAACGATCGATTTTAAAGTTACTTTTGTTCCATTCATTAGTGTAGCATTGTGAACGTTTTCACCAATATCTTCAAGATTTTCAAAATCATTATATTCAAATTTATTAAGTCCATAGTTAAGCCATTCTTGGTCGTAAGAATTAAGAGAAATAGTCGATGGTTCTCCAGGATTTTCTAAAACTGAAAAAAATTGGAAATATAAATAACATAAAAACAAGAGTTACTTGATGTGCTTAAATTAATTATATTTAACAATACCTGCGATTCCTAAATTTTCTAGACTAATTGAATCTTTACTGTAAGATTCCATAGATTTAAATTTATTTAATTGATTATTAGGATTAACTTTTTGAATAAATTGGTCATTTTCGTTTGAATCATAATATATTTTTTCGAATTGAATATTTTCAAGAGAATCACAAATATTTTCTATAGTTGGTCTTTGTTTTGGATCATCTTTCCATGCTTCTGTATAGATTTTGATATAATTCTCTGGAGTTCCATTAATGGGTAATTCCTTTTTACCAGATTTAACTTTTTCACATATTTCAAAATCGATAAATTTATCGAATGGAGGTCTTCCACTTGATATCTCCCAAAAAAGAACCCCCAAACTATAAATATCTGAAGGTTTATTTCTTTTATAGCTTGTCGAATTTTGTAAATATTCAGGATCTGAGTATGCAAGCATTCCTCCTGTTAAGGAATTAGAATTGGAATCTAATGATTTAGATAAGCCTAAATCTGTAATTAATAATTTTCCTTTATGAACCAAAATATTCTTTGAATGCTATTAAAAAAAAAAATAATTTATATAAGAAATTATATAAATTTACAAAAAATAATCTTAATCTTATATATATTAGATAATATATACATACTAAATCTCGATGAACAATATTTGCATTATGAATAAAACATAAACCATATGCTATATCTTGAGCCATATTAACTTTAGTTTCCCAATCAAGATTTTCGAAATTATTTTTATTTCGTAAGTAATTTCTTAAATTATCTTCAGCATATTTAAACACTAGGTAACATTTCTCTTCTTTAGGATCTAAATTAAATAATAATATAATAATATTTAATATTTTTATTAAATTAAGCATTGTATAACAAATAAATAATAATTTATCTTTACCGATACTGACTCCGTAAAATTTAATAATATTTCTGTGGCGATTTACTGCCCTAATATTTTGTAACTAATAGTTTAAAAGAATTGTATTTAATTTCGTCTCAAAAACATTCTTAATTATTGTAAATAAAATATTTATTTACCTCATTCATAAATACTTTATAAAAATTATCTCTATTTTCATCAAGCAAACATTTTAATGCGACTTGTTTTTTTAAACCTTTCGAGTAGGCACTATTAACTGCACCAAATCCTCCTTTTGTAATCGGTTTAATATCTTCAAATGTATCATAATCGAATTTTGGAATCTTTTGATCATCCGCAATTCGAGTCAAATCTTTGTTACTCATCTTTTTCGTATAAAGAAAGACCTAAATACTTATTACGACTTATTATTTATCTAATATAGAAATTGAAGTGTTACTTCAAATCCTAAAGGAGAAATTACACAAAACTAGCGTTAACATTATTCTTGTGAAGAGTAAAGTAGTACGTCAATACTCCGTCTCTAAAATACTTTAACAAGTACATCCAAATTTTATTATTAATTTTACCATATTATATAAATTGTTTTTTGGAAGAAAAAGGAAATAGATTCTTTCACAACTGCAACTGCATCGCGTTCACAAACAACGCAACCAATACAACTTCCAACGACGCGACTACAATTACAACAATTACAACAGCAACAATTAACGAATGTATCATCAAGAAACAGCAACAATTAACGAATGTATCATCAAGAAACAGCAACAATTAACGAATATATCATCAAGAAACAACAACGAATGCTTCGTTAACTTTAGGTCAATAGAAAAACTCGTAAAGCAATTTCCAAATAAGCAAAAGGTATTCTTTACAGACAAGGCAACATAATTCGAATTTAATGTATCGACAGCAACTTGCAACACAATCACAACAACAATTTAACAACAATTAACAAAGGCATCATCCGAAGAAATAACAACTAATGATTCGTTAACTTAGGTCAATTGAAAAAACTCGTAAAGCAATTTCCTAATAAGCAAAAGGTAGGTTAATTACTACTATATAAATATCATTAACTATTTACTTACAAAATTGTCATCACTTCCAGTATTAAACATTAATTAATTAATTAATTAATTAAATTCAAATAGCAAAAGAATTTAAATTCACCTACGCCGATAGTGATAACATTTGTAAAGATGAATTTTATAGTTATGCCAAAATTTCTCAAAGTTTGGAAAATAAAAACTTTCGAAAAAAAAAATGGAACGATGAGTTTATGTATTTATTAAAAATATCATATAATGTATTAATTATTATTTCTAATTTATTTAATTTTAATTCAATTAAAAAAAATAATTAATTGAATTTAAAATAATTTTTTTCAGCATGGATAAGTAGTTCAATTTCCATACGTAGAACATGCATAGAGTAATTTGTTAGAAATATTTTAATTAAAGGATCCTTCTAAAAGATCTTCTCCCGTGAGGTTAGTGAAATAAATTTATTATTGAGATAATAGATAATAATATCTTGATAATATTTTAGAGATGATTTATTTATTTTAATTGGATAATAATTAATTAATTCATTAATTATCCCAATTCTAGTTTTAATAATTGCAATTAATTAATTACAATTTAATAAATTTATTATAATTTATAGAGATTTGAATGTTTGCCAATCCTTGATTTTAGAAAATGTCTTAATTGTTTTAACCAATTAAATGCTACATTGCTCCCAGTCTATAACCAAAAATTTTATCCTTAAAATAAGGTCAACTTTAAAGACTAAACTTAAAATAGAAATTTTAACCGATAATGATGATAGATATTAACTATTTTTGATGGAGCTATAAGCAAAATTAGGTATATTTATATATAAAATAAAAATTGTAAAATATATAAAAACATAAAAAAGATTCTTTTTATCAAATCTATTTATTTAAATCATTAAAAATTTCATTAGGTATTCTTTGACGATATTTATATTTTTTACTGTATATTCTGCCAAGGTTCCTGTTAAACCTTTTCTATATGCATCCATATATCTTTGAGATTTTTGTACAAATTTTCTAATCATAGTTAAAGGTACAGAATCTAAAGCTTCAGGAACCGTTTTTTGTAATCCATCTCATGTATAATCACAATGTTCTCGTGTGAACCTTTTAGCTGGGTGGAAGTTATAAATATATTTAATGAATGGAGAAAAAAGGAAAACGATCCCCCACAAAAATGTACAATGTTCTATCTGAAGAAGTTGAACTCAGTTCAGCTACACTTGTAAGTTTCTATAGACATCAAAAAAAATCTCGCAAATACCTCATTAGATTAAATTGAGGCCTGGATTGAGAATGAAAACCAGAAAAAAGATAATTCCGTTGTTATTAGTAGTAACAATAGAGGCTCGGAGGGCCATTTCTCATGAAATAATAATTTTTCCACCGAATTATCGGAAGAACATATACACATCCATTTGCGCTCTACGTATGCGCGTAAGACTATAAATTTTCAGTGGACGGTAACTCGGCAAATGATATCTTTGAAGATTTTGAAAGATAAACTCCGTGAAAATTTCACATTTCCAGAAGGACAGAGAATGAACATATCACAATAAGAAGTGTGTCTCAACATTAGTTGTTTCGCTAAGAGAGTTTTGGTTTGTCTGATCATACTTTGACTTTCTACATTTAGAAATCTTTCTACCGCATATCAGTGGAGGATGCAGCAGAACGTAAAATCATTAATTTTTCTACTGACGAAGATTTATTGAGTATCCTCTGAATACCGGTGGGCCCCAAGTAGATCTGGAAATAGTTGTGGATACTTGTAAGTTGATCTTCATATATTTATGCCAGATCTATGTCATCTTTTAAATTTATATATTTTTTAACAGCACAAAAACCATTTTCGTCATACAGTTTTCATAAAATGAAAGGATCTTTTCGGGTTGACAGCTGATAATTTCTTAGAATTATCACGCATTGAGATAAAAACATTGGTTACGTCAGAAGATGTTAGAAATCAAACAATTGAGACACTTTTGACAAATTATAAGACGAGTCCACCTGTCAATAGTGCAAATGAGGCTCCCGTTGTGCATTCATTGAGCCAATAATACGTGGTGTAGTATCTACCTTTGGTGGAAAAATAATATGGCAAGGGACCATTGATTGGGTAATTAAAGTAGATGATACGATACAATTATCTGTGTAACAGAAGCAAAAAGAGGTGACCTTAATCAAGTTATTGGTCAAAGTACGTTGCAAGCGAATGCATTGATGTGACTTAATTCTAAGAAACGTAAACATGATAATGCTGACTTATGTGGAAACGAAATGTATTGTCTCAACCGGTATGTTCATAAAAACAAATTTTAAAGAAGAGGTGTGAATATTATTAATTATTTTAATATTTATGATATTCCAATGTTAGGTGTTTGGTTAATTACAAAAGTCATGTATGGAAACGGAAACAATGGTGACGGAAAATTGGAACTTTTTTTGTGCTCATATAATCTTGAAGAATTACAAAAAATTGTTAACTCGTACTGACTTAATTGAACCGGTTAATGAACTATTTGACAAATCAAGTAGATTTTGATCAGCAGATCAAGTCACCGAAACGAATAAAAATTAATAAGAATTAACTAATCGGATATGTCGAGCACGAAATTATTACAATGTTTATTTTCATTATTCAAAACTGTTATTAAATGAGTGTATCCACAATTTGAATTTAATTTTTATGTAGCGTTATATAAATTTTCTTGTGAGTTTTTCAGTATTTAAAAGTATTTAAAGTTATAATTTATTCAATGAGACCCAATTCTGCAGATGCTCTGGAATAATTACATATGGGTCTTCGTAATACCAAACATACCTTAAGACAATCCTTGAGTTGATCTCGTGCTTGCTGTTTAACAAAATTATTGGGATCCCCCTTATGGAAGAATTTGATGTGTTTTTCATGTTGATGCCCTTGTATTTCAATTGAAAAACCATATTCTGGATAAAATATATCAAGTTCTAATCCTCGAGGACATTCTGGTGTTTTCAAGAAATCTGGTCGGCAAATGCTAGAGGGTGGGCCAAGATTTTGTTATAACTTCTCGACATAAGCTTTCACGTTTATTTAAGCATTATGGACACCATGTTTTAGAATGCTTTATGCGATTAAAACAGGCGATCATGACCCTTATTACACATCCATTGCACACAGAGATTTATATATTCCTTATAAAGACACATACCTCCTTTATTGTGAGCAATTTCCTTAGCTTCTATAAGACCGCAAGGAAGGTTGCCTGCACATTGTGCACACCATTAACCTTTGTTCTTTATTCTAACGAAGGGTGAGTCCACTGGAAAATCTGAATTGACGTATTTTGTAGGAAGACATTTACCGCCTCGTTCTTGTGCAATATTTTGTACTATATCAATATTGTATTGTGATTTTTAGATCTTCCAATTGGTATAAAAGATTTTTGAACTAGTGTACTACATTTTCTGCACAAGTACCTTACAAAATATTATTCGCTGAAGTCTTCCATTTATGTCCTTCTTTACACTGCCATTCAAGAGAATTATGCATATTAATATACTCGATTGCAAGACAAGAATCTCCCTTTTTTGTTGCATATCTTCAATCGTTCAAGTACGCTGATTTTCAACTGCACAGATTGGCACCACGTTTTATCATTTTTACACGACTAAGTTTAGCAGACCTTTAGCACATTTCCAAAGCATTGGTGTCACCATTAATATGTCTATCAGGTAGGCATTCACCTCCTCTATTACATGCGATTCCTTTAGCAATATCTAAAGTTAATTTTGCAATTTATATTTATATCAAAATTTCAAAAGGCCGATAGGTATTTAATATATGTTTTATTCCTGCCCTCTTCTATCTACTCGTTATTTTTAGCTGGTTAAATAAATTTTATTTGTATTATCGAAAAAAAATATATATATCAATAAAAATTGTAATTTACCCGAATTCTACGCTAAAAGATTCATAAATATGGTTGACTAATGGAAAAGTTAGGGAGAAAAAAGCGAAAGGACAAGTATATGATTTTATTATTCAACAAATCTAACACAAAGCGTGAAAACTTATGCAAGCAATCTAGATCACGAAATTATGAAAAAAATATTAACTTGCCAATACACCTATTATCTACGAACCGTGAATTGTGGCTGAACACTTATGCTTATTATTTTTTCGGATTTAAATTTTGGATAAGTGATAAATATGGCTATCGCGAAAATTACATGTCCTGGAAAAATAAAGAATTAATTTTCTCACTTGCCTTAGCGTTGTTCAGTCACGGTAAATTTTGTATATGCATTTTAGAAATTCAGATGTCGCTGGCGCAGTAGCGATGTGATTAAAATTTAAAAGAAAATCAAACCGACATCTTTTTTAATACTCTTACAATACTAAACTATTACATAAATTTTTATATACTAAATAAGAATATGCTAAGCAATTAGTTTCTTAAACTATCTGTTATATTGTATATCATATGCATAGAAAATTTCATCTCGAATAAAGAAGAAATCCAATACAATAGAATATTTTGAGGAATTTGTGTTTGCTAGTAGAGACAATCCAAATAAATATTGATGAGGCAAACGCCTTGTGAAATATTCAAAAGATTTCCGTCTCCATCATGAGTGCCAAACTCAAACTAATAATAATAAACCATTATATTAAAAATTTGAAAAATCAATAAAAAAGATATATTTGACATTACATGAGTTCGATATGAAAGATATGTTCTTCTGTCCCTAGAAAAAAAATGCCATGTCTACATGGGTTTATTCTTTAGAATAATACACAAGCAATAAAATGTCACTTAAACTTTTAGAAAATATAATTTACTTGTCATGCGCATTCTGCTCTCAGAAATTGGATCAATTTTAATAACTAATTGCATCATGCATATTACTATAATCCCTTAGCCAGTAATTTTTCACCTTCTCAAAGACATGGTCAATGCTTCCATAGTATAACAATATTTGGCCATGGTTCATTCTGAAATCGAAATGTAAAGTATCTACTTCTTTTCCAGAATCATCAGCACGAGTTCCTTTAAAAAAAAAGAATATTAATTTGATATCACAAAATAGGATTGAAATAGTTAATTAACTAGTTACTCCTAGATTTATAATTCTGTCATTTGTTCCTTTAACAGAAATGCATTTCTTAATTATTTCTGAAGTAATTGTGCCAATGCAAGTTTCATGTGGTTTTGATGGAAGCTAGTAAATGATGACTTTGTAATCTTTCCATTTCTATAAACCATAAATGTTAAACTTGTCTATATCGCATTCACATTTGTCCAGAGTTACACCTTCAGTGAGCACATATGGGAGCCTTATTGTAATCAGTCAAATTGGTAATATGTAAAATATTCAGTCAACATTAGAACAACTTACATTGCCTCTTTCCATTTTGCTTGTGAATATATCACTGGTCAAATATGGGGCATACTGCAACAAAACCAGACAAAGTGAACATTTTATTATGTGATATGAATGAGAGGCTGATTGTGATGTGGCTGTAAAATTGACCAGTGTGATGTGACTGATGACATTTTGAAAAGTAATAATGGTGCTTGTTCATAACTTATCGACTTGTTAATTTTAATGCTCACTTTATCATACTAGAATGTGATGAATATAAGATTAGTATAGGATTACCTCTATATATAAAAATATTAATATGAAACTAATTTACATCAGATCTACTATGGAACCTAAGAATCACAGCACCATTAGAAGTATTTTGAAGAAAGAACAAGGTGAAAAAATTGCTCCTTACATCTTCAAAATAAATGATACTCAGACACTGGAAGCTTATCTAAGAAAAGAAAAGATTACATATGAAATTTACCATGAAGAAAGAAAAATAATAAACATTAAGAAAAGACAAAAAGCAGAAATCCTTAGAAGGAAAATAATTTTATTATTACAATATTGATTTATTTTTTTTATTGACAAAGAAAATTCTCCTTTATGCAAATGTAATTAACAATCATCAAATTGCATTGTTTATCAATAAAAAAATGTTCTTGTTTGAACAAATTTTACATTCAAGGATATGTTTATAGATCTTTGTTTTTCCCATTGAAATTGAAAGTAAATAATTCTGCCTTATATTGGAACATTATAAAATATCACCAATTCAATTAATTTTCAGGTAAAAAAATAGTCCTTTTAATAATAAATATTTTCATCCATAATAACATTTTTTTAAAAAAAATGCTTACATTCAATAGTGAATTGCAGATTTTTTTTTCTTGATTTCTTACTTCACATAAAACATGTAAAAATCAATTCAATAAAATAAACAAATTTACTGGCGATAAAAAAAATACACACGAAATTTAAATTTTTTTATTGAGCGAAATGGCGATTGAAATTCTCTCTGAGCAATTTACAATAAAATATTCAGATATAATAAAAACGATGATAAAATGATGATGTAATAATGTAGGAATACTTACGACTCATTTCTAAGTCATATGTCAATCAATTTTATCATTGGTCGAAATTTTGCATAAATTGAGAAAAATATTCTCACGAAATGCAACAATCGAAGAAATTAGACAACAATTAAAGAAAGTAGAAGAAAGATTGGAGAAAGCGGAGAAGAAGTTGGAGGCCTGGGAAGAGGGGAAATATGAAGGAAAGAAGTTGAAAGAGTGGGAAATAGAGTTAATGGAGGGTAACTTAAGTGAAGTAGAGCAGACAAAGTTGGAAAAACAAGTGGACAGATTGTACAAAGAAAAAGAAGAATTGAAGAAGGACAAGAAAAAGTGGGGGGACCAAGTAATTAATTTACAAAATAAATTAGCCGACTTTGCAGAAGGGAAAGGTAATGAACAAATTGTATAAAAATAATTATTTTCCATTCATTTCATTTCATTTATTTACTTATCTATTTAAATGATATTAAGTACTACTTTAGCTAACTTTTTTTTCTTGCTTCTTATCGTCAAATCCGCCCAAAAAACACATTTGCGTTATCGTAGTTGCCAACGGTAAGTGAGTCGTAATAAATTTAGTCAACGCGAGTAGACGTACTGCTTTTTCGTCATTACTTTTTAACGTGTGCATAACTATTTCCATTTTATTCAGAACAATATATTCAGGAAAATAAGGATTTGAAATATACGATATTCCTTCTTGAGTTAGCCAATACAAGAAATTCTGTCTCTCTATACAGACATGTGAGAGAACATGGAGACGTCCAACTTTGGCAAATCGAGGAGGATATAATACCACTAAGAGGGGCTGGAAGCAATGTATTTAATCAATACCGTGATGCTCCTGCTCAAGGATTAAGTGAAATTAATGTAAACCAACCATTTTGTAAGAAGGTTGTGAGTGAAATCAATGAAATCGTAAATCAGATACACGGAGATGATTTACTTGTAGTTGGAGATAATGGCGGCCAAAAAGAAGATGAAGTTTTCCTTGATATCATAATTGGCCCTGTCGGTTTCTACTCAGAATTGACAAAAAACACACCTAATTTATCAAAGGGTTTGGGTTGGGAAATCAAGAATAATTTAAATGAAAAAGCGAAGGGTAAGGTCAACTAGTAAAATATGCCAGGGCATACCTTTCAGCAGATCCACCTCTAACAAGCATTTTCTATGGATGTTTAACGGATGGGAAGCTTTGGCAATTTGTGAGAATCCAACTTATATTAAATGATATTAATAACCTAAAAGTGAAGTTTGAGGAAAGTCTCAATTATGAATGGAGTGAACACACGGCATCATTTATTGCTGGTCTACTTAATCATTACCATAATGACCTGTCAATGAGAGCTTCTGGCGAAAAAAAAGAATCTCGAAATAATGATGAAACATATATGTATAGGAATAAGTCATCAATTTCTTCTGAAAGTCTCTTGGCTTCTTTCATTGAAGAGGGTATCTATATCAGATTAAACTCCGGAAATTATATCCATGTGCAGATCACATCTCACCTTGGAACTGGAAGAGAGTGTATAGTTTTTTTGGCACAAGTACGTGATTATGGAATAAAGGATGCCGTTTTGAAGGTAAATTAATCCCTGAGAATGTCTCATACTATGTACAATAAACTTACCATATCGATCATTTTTTTATCTGAAGATTGAAGTTTGCAAAGACACTAAAATCTCTCAAGTTTACCGTGAAATATCAGCATTGCATGCCCTAGGTGATCTCCCTTGTGTTCCCAAACTTCTCTTCGAGGGTTATACGACGGGAGGATCCCTGGCTTTACTAACTGATTTTGCGGGGCAACCCCTGGAATCATGGATTTCTGATAACGGTAATATAGATGATTACACAATTGTTCAAATAATTCTGGATCTATTATCGTGCTTGGAAAAGATACATGCCCGTGGTTACACACACGGAGATGTGGCCATACGAAACGTTATACAGAGAAATGGCCATTTCTATCTTATTGATTTCGGCCTTGCAACTCTGTTGCAACTTCACTCCGATCCATGTCAAGCAATTATTCAAGACTACAGCAGATTGTGTCAAATAATTGGAATTATTAAGTTTGGAGAGAAAATGTCGTTTTCAGAATTAATAGGCAAGTTGAAGGGAGAGCTAAAATCACTTGTTGTGTTTGTTGAGGATGTGAGTAGGTGGAAAATAACTGATGAAGGTAAGTGGTTAGAAAAATTTGATGCTAAAGTTAAACATTCTTATGAGAGATCATCTAGGAAGGCATTGTTGGAAATAACGGAAAATATTAAATATTTTGTAAACTTACATAAGTTTGTGATCGAGAGCTACGGCAAATTTATTACTAATGATTTAATAAATAAAACAGACCAGAGTGTCAATTTTTTGCTTGTAAGTTACTTTTTCGCACAATATAGTATAATTGAGATTTAGTTGGCTAATATATTTTTTTGTTCTTTTGATGAAGCTTTGCAAAAGAGAGGGGAAAGGGTTGAGAACGTCTATAAGTTTTTTAATAGTATTGGTAATTAAAAATAGCACGAATTAGATCTTTTCCCGCGAGGTCTACATATTTTAAATTTGTCTGATAGTAATGTTGACCATATCATTGCTGGAGTCTTGAGAGCAGAACGAAGTAGATCATTACTGCACCACATTACTGTGCAATTAGTGTCCAGTTTTTCATTTTGAGTAGTTATTATTATACATAAATAAAAGGTATTAGTTTACTGAAGTTGCCAACACGTTATACAAGATGAATTATGTTTATGGAGATCTTTGCATATCGAATATTATGATTTCGAAAGATGGAAAGCAGATTATGATAGTTGATTTTGACTGGGCTGGAGAGGAAGGATTGGCAAAATACCCATATTTTATAAATCGATTTGATTTATTAGACTGGCATCCAGATGTAAAAGAGGGTGGAGAAATTAAGAAAGCTCATGACTTACTTTATTATGAGAAAATTTTTAATACCTCCGTTATACCTCTTGCAGCTTTTTTTTTTCTACCCATCATTATACAATCTGACTTGCTTTGTAGGTAAATATTTGGCCAGATGAAATGTATGTGCTTTATGTTGATTGGTTAATTTAGAGGAAACATATAAGATGGTTCCAGGAATGCCATAAATAAAAGATTGAGTCATATCATTAGGCATTTGTTATTGCTTTCACTCGTGATTGCCTTCAAAAATGTTAACCTTTATTTGATTTTTTGCTGTCATACATTCCATATGTTGAACTCGGTTTTTATCTTTATTCTCTCAGTTTATTTATGCCTGTATCAACATGACACATTATAGTAAATGAACTGCTTATTATAACCAAGTTCTGATCTGTGAGTAGAATCCACTGAGCTTAAATAAAGGAGTATAGAAAATCCAATCTTGATAAAATTTATATATAGGATTACCCGTATATGAAAAATTCTAATTACAGCGGTTCCACCGAATATGAAAAAGCAATGCATTTCTTGGAGGTAGGTTGCGATTGTGATTGTTCACAAATGGTTCCAAAAGAAAAGTTTGCCGAATTACGTGAGGCGTTTCAAGCTCTCTCTAGATCCGAACAAGATATATTTTTTAATGGCCCAGCTGAAGGCAATGAATGGTGGAGAAATAACTGCCAGCTGACGTCTTAAAAAGAAAACGCGTACTAATAAGAGAACTTTTTATTATTGAGATCGCAATACACCTCTTTGTCAGAAAACGTATCTCAATATGTTGGGAATTGGTCGCACTCATTTGGAAAACGTCAGAAATCATCTAGCAACGAATGGTATAATACCGCGCGTTCATGGTAACATAAAACGAGTGCCACGATGGAAAACCAAAATAACCATTGACATAACCATTGCTACTTCCGTGAAGAATTTTCTCGAAAACTATGCTGAAATTCATGGACTACCAAGTCCTGGTAGAAACGTCAATCGCATTACTCAATCGCTTACGCTTTTACCAGGCGAAACTAGTTACAAATTGGTCTATTGTGATTTTATTGCAGGTCCCGAAAACGATAGCACGTTAAAATTGTTAAAATACGATGCATTTTGCAAGTTATGACACCAATTAATTCCTTATATTCAAATCATGAGTCCACGAACGGATTTATGTGATACGTGCCAACATTTTCGGAACGGCTTACAGTATAATGCTCGTAAGGAAGAAGAAGCGAAAGATTTATTAAAAAAGTACAAAGAACATTTAGTTAAGGCTAAATTAGAAAGAAATTATTTCAACAAAAATACGAAATTAGCAGAACAACAGAGAAAATTGGTAGATGAGCATTTTATAACAAGAAGTAAAGCTGATTATTGTAGCATTGATGCTACTGCTCATTACAGTTACGATTGAGCACAAAACGTTCACGTTCCCCATTCCGATCAACAGGTAAGTAAAATTTATTATCTTAGTCCACGTAAAGTGCATTTATTTGGTATTCAAGATGAAGCAGTACGCGAACAAATTAATTACGTTCTTGATGAAGACGAAATTATAAGAAAAAGTCCTAATGGCACACTAAGCATAGTATTCGATGGGATTAAGAGATTAAATAGAGGTGAAAAGTATTTAAAGATTACTTGTGATAATGCGGGAGGACAGAATAAAAATAATGCTACTATTTGATTTTATCTATATTTAGTAATTTGCGGCTATTATGAAAGTATCGAGTTAAATTTTATGGTACCTGGACAAACTAAATTCAAGTGTGATGGTAGTTTTGGATTGATTAAGAAACTCTATAGAAAGACAACCGTAGATTGTGTGGATCATATTGTTGAAGTTGTAAAAAGATCGAGTACAGCAGGATTAAACAAAGCCCAGTGTTATGGCAATGGAAAAGGTTTTCAATACTTAGATCTGAATTCCGTATTAGGGATTTTCTTTAAAAAACTGAATGGTTTGCAAAAATATCAGCATTTTTTCTTTGAAATAACTCAACCTGGAATTATCAAAGCGCAGATGGTTGCTAATGGTGTTTTTATTGAATTTAATTTATTGAAAACCAGAAAGGTAAGTGTTTCTGAAATTATCAAAGAAATTAAATCTTTCTCCATTTTAATAGTAACTCCTCCTCCATTAGATTACAAAAGACAAGAGTATCTTTATCATAATATTCGTCCATTTGTTAGAGATGAATTTAAAGATATTACTTGTCCTAGACCAATTCATAATGATAATGAATAAAATGTTTAAATCAAATTACCTTTATTATTTCACTAGTTGCTACCTGTTGTTATCGTTATTAAGTACTTTAATCTTTTTTTAATGAATATTGTTAACTTTTCTGCTTTTTAAAGTAATAAAGAATTAAAATATACTATATATATATTAAAGAAAATAAAAACAGACAGAATAAAAAACCATGACATTTAACAAAAACAATATTAATACAGAAAATGAAGCCAAGGAGGATCTAAATTATTATGGAGGACCTCTTAAGCCAGAGGAAAAAAGTATCTTTGATAGCGACCTCTTAAAACCAAATAATACTTTGGATAAAACTTTACTTCAAAACACCGCTGATTTACTTAACCATTGAAACCAATCTAAAAGTAAAGTGAAAACTGAAACAATGGGTTTAACTACTGAGGGAAAAGCCTTGTTAAACGCTTTATTAGTAGAACAAAAAGGTAATTCTGTTCCTTATCAAGTAGTTAGCCTAATTGGAAGTGATACACCAGTTGATAAAGTTATTAGTCAATTTGATGATGCTTTATTTGCTGAATCTGAACCTGAATTTGATGCTAAAGTTGAAGCCGCACTGCTTAAACTAAAAAATTTGAGTGATAAAGGAGATGAAAGAGATAAAGAAATAAAAAAATTACAAGCAAAATATAATCAAAAATTACTGGATGAACAAACTAATTTAGAAACTAACGTTGATAAACTTGTCACCAAGTTGAAAGATGATCTTAAAAATGTTGGATCAAATAGTCGTAAATTTATTGAAAGTATAATCAAATTTAATGAACGTTATGAAGAAGAAATTAACAAACCTAGTGTTCCAGCTTCAGCCACTTCTTATGGATCAGTCATCAAAACGGGTTATAGTGGTAATGGTAAACCTTATACTCATCCACTTTACTTAGGTGATGATTTACCGGGTCAAATTTGAACTCTTTTAAAAAATGTAGATAAAACTAAACTTTTTAATTATATTTCTTCTTCAGATTGTACTTGAAATGCTAATGATAAGAAAAAGTTTAAAGATGCTTTTGATCGAGTCATCGGTTGAAAAATAGTATTTGAGAATGGCGGTAATCAAAATTTAATTGGCGTTATTAATGATAACGTAACTCCAGGTGGAAAAACAATCAGTTTAAAATCGGCGAAGGATGCAAAATAAGGAAGAAGATATATCAGTGACCTTTTTTATGTTATGAATGCTTTATTTCCCAAAGGCAGCAATTACAAAGATAGTCCTTTCTTAAAAATAGGTGATAATAGTTGTTTGCAATTTAGTAATAATGAGAGTTTAGATACATCTCATAATATTTATTGAAGAGGGGCTGATAATAGTATTACTACAAAGAATTATGTTATTGATGGCGGAAGTGCAAATTTACTCAGAGCCCCTTTTCCTGTCGAAAAGAAAGAATTAACTTGGGCTAATGGAAAAATACCAGAGTTTTTTTTGACAAGTTTATAATAATAATGAAACTATTGATTTTTCTGCCCGTAGTGAAATATTAAGTAAAGATGTAATTAACTATGAAAGAGTTCGTGAAGAGCCAATATCTGTTTATGAGAAAAAATTAGTTCCTGAAGAATCAACCCCCACTAGTCGTTATTTACTTAGAGATAATTATGAGAAATATATTGGTAGTTTAATCAGAAATGAAAAAGATACAAGTGGAAAACCTTTAATTGATGTGGATAAACTTGGAGAGGAGTGGGTTCAATTGCTTGAAATATAGCATTGGAAGCTCAGAAAACCCTTAAATATTACAAAAAGAAAGCAAAGGCTTTGACTTATGACCAATTAAAAAGTAGAATTAGTGAATATAGTGAATATCAAGCTTTGGTATTACAAGGAGAAGATATCGACAAGGGTAAAGTTACTAACGATATAATTAACCTTTGAGATGGCTGAAATACTGTTACTAAAGCTAAAAGATTGAGTTTAGAAGAAAATGGTAGAAAACTTGGTGATGAATGGATTAAACGAAATGATATTAGTTCTAAACTAGTTAAAGTTCAACAAGAATTAGATAATGCCCAAAAATTAGCAAAAACTGCCAAAACTGGACGGATGCAAGGTCTGAAAGATACCTTTAGAGTCCTCAATGCTAAAACTGACAAGAGTTTCAAAGAAATGATATTCTTAAGAAGCGTTTTAAGTTTAGTAGAAAAATGAGAAAGTTCATATCCCGCTGACCCTACTTTCAATGTAACTGCCTTACGACAAAATTTGGATAATGAAGAAAAGACAAGGGGAGGTATATTGGCTCCTTACACTATTTGAAAAAGACTTGGTGATAATTTTGTATAAAGATTAAAGAATTGAAAGGAGAATGATGGTAAATATTATAGTGAAGAGACTGAAAGAAGTTATCTCACCAAGATTAAAAATACTTTGAAGTTATTTGATGATTTAACTGTGACTGAAAAAAATGAATTGGAACAAATTACTAATTATCTAAATAAAGTTCCAACTCCAACCGAAGTAAGAATTACTCCGAGTGATCTTAAAGCTGCTTTCGGAATGAAAACTAATATTTTTAGTGATTCCACACAAAAATGAATAAGTTACCCTAGTTCGATTAATTTTAAAGGAGATGCTGAGGAGATTAAGAAAATAGCCGATAAAGTTAATGGTAGTGGTACAAAAATTAAAAAGCCTGACTTTGTCAAGTACTTAAAAGAAAACTTATCCACTAAACCAGACTTACCAAAGTTCCCAACGGACAATGTTCCTGATCAACAAAAATTAGATTGGTTCTGGTCTTTAGATCCGGAAATAGTGATTGGAACGATTGCTTCGCAGGAATTAGTTGCGGATAGTTCCTTAAAAGACACCACCCTTACGGAAATGAAAGCTGCCAAAGATGGTGACAAAGTATTAGATAGTTCCAAGTACAAAAAAGATGATAAAGGAGAATTTACCGAGGAGGCTATTAGTTTGTATTACAGTGAAAAATTGGGAGGGATAAATCATAGTTTTTCAAAAACAGAAGAACCTAAGGAAAAAGAAACTTCTCAATCTTCTTGATGAAGTTGAAAAAATCCATGAGCGGTAGGGTCTGAACTAGGTCTTTTTGCTACGGTGACTGCAATTGTTTTGGCTATTATTTATTGAGAAAATATTGTCGCTTGATGAAATGGTCCTGCAGATGCTGAAGGTAATGGAGGAAGTGAAGAAGACGATAATGGATAATGGATAGAAATTATTTAGGTGGGAGTAATTTTTATTGTTTCCGCTTGAATATTTTTTGTGATAGTTGATATTATTTAAAAGAAAATAAGTTGAAAATATAGAAAAGAAGTGTTCTGGTGATATTTGATTGATTTAATAACAAGAAAAAGCTGAAGAAAAAAGAAGAGTAAACTTGATTAGTAAAATAAGTAATTAAAAATTAAAAGAGTTGAAAAGAAAACAAATTGTTATTTTTTTAACTTTATTCTGTCAGTTTTCTTTTCTTTCTTAATTCTTGGTTAAAATTTTCATACAATCTTTTGAAAACTCTTTCTTCTTGGTAAATTTCATAAGTAATTCTTTCTTTTCTTAGATAAGCTTCCAGTGTCTGAATATCATTTATTTTGAAAATGTAAGGAGCAATTTTTTCACCTTGTTCTTTCTTTAAAATACTTCTAATGGTGCTGTAATTCTTAGGTTCCATAGTAGACCTAATGTAAATTAGTTTTATATTAATATTTTTATATATAGAGGTAACTCTATATATCACCTAATATTAAGAGGATAACAAAAGAAAGATTTTAATATCACATTACTAAATTTTGATCTCTGAATACTTGGTAATATTAATGTTTACTTTGTCTGGTTTTGTTGCAGCATGCTCCATATAAAAGATATGCCATAATGAAAAGGAATTTCAATTTTAGCTGATTTATAATATAGGATGCAATAGGACAGTCAATTGTTACTGATTTTTAGCTAATCTATAGTATAGGAATTACAGTGATTCTTTTGTATTTGACTAGTGTATATTGTCCTCTTTTCACCATAATTTATAAAGCTTTGTTAATTCTTCATCAAGTTTATGATATAAATATTATCATTACAAGGAAATGACTTTAGTTAGTAAAAAAAATTAGATATGTAATATTAGTTGCAATATTTATTTATTTTTGATTTGAAGTAATGAAAGTATTGACACTATCTACAATAAAATGTACTGTCAGCCTACTTTCAAAGGATTTGAAACAAAGTTAAAAAATGTACACCATTTGATTCTGGTTTGTTAATTATGTTAATTCTGTTAACATTAAATAAGCTAAATGAGTTAGAATTATAACTATTATAAAACATTGATATTTTTAGTTATTTTACAATTATGTAAAAAAGTTTTAAAAGAGAAATCAATTGATATATCATTTTTCATACTTCTTAATAATTGAAGTTAAAATTATTGATATTGTATTATACACATGTCAATATATAAGGAGTGTATTAGAAATCATCTAATATAATGGCGGTAGGTTGCAGGTGTGTTTCGTGTCAACCTTAGGATTGACAATACGAATTAGTCTGAGTCTCATTTTTTCGTTAGTTACTAGAATAAGTTGTGTATCTTATATTATGTAATATTAATGTAGGAGACTTTCTCTTTTTTTAGTCAATAAATTTGAGGCAAAGCCTCGCCAAAACTTTTAAAAAAAAAAAAAAAAAGTAAGGCTATGAGATTTTTATAAAGGTTTGACTAAACTATTCACAAAGAATATAACTAAACTAAACTAAACTCATAATTTCTAACACTAAGTAGAAAATTATAACACTAAAACAATATACCAAGATCACAAAGTAAGGTGTAATTTAACAAGGGTTTAAGTATTCCACCAAGGAATAATACAGAATTTCACTAAGAAATTACAATGGTATAAATAATAATTTACAAGAGTATTATTTATAAGGCAAATCACAAAGTATTTTATTAACAAGAACTGAAAGTTAGCTATTGTTATCTGTATATATAGATAGTAGTGAAATTAAGCCAGAATTACGGTATAGCGGCATTATGGTAGCTGAAAATATTTTTGACATTACTTTTCAAAATTCAAAAATGCTGAAAATAATTTTAGCTGCCATTATTATTTTTGACTATCATTATTATTTTCGGTTGCCAAAATTATTTTTAGCTACTATTATTGTTTTCGATTGCTATTATTATTTTAGGCTGCTAAGGTTACCGAAATTATTTGATTGGTCAAAATTTGTGTCATGACCATTTTATTTTTATTACAATAGATGGTTGGATCAGGTGATTTGTGGTATATAATAAAAATAAACAAATAAATTTGTTTTAATATTATTTTTTATGTCTACATACTAATATCTATTTTTATCGAGTTTTGACATAAATAATAGTAGATTTTTTCTTTTGATTTCAGTGATTATAGTTTTTTTTTTTGATTTTAGTGATTACAAGTTTATTAAATTGGCTATTTTTATTATAGATTGGTAAGATTAAAAATAAACCAAAATTACAAGATATTTCAAAGTTTAGGAAGGTTAGCAGGAATATTGTAATATTTATTTTATTGTTTCTTCATGTATACAGGTACTAACTACTGTTTTAATTATTTTTAGTTCAGTTTTTATAATTAAATCAGGTGGCGCAGTACCGTTTATAGATCTAGAGTTTAGATTATAGACAAGAAAAAAAAGTAATTTCAAAGTTTAAAAGGAATTTATAGAACTAAAGGTAGGTATACTTTGTTTGTTTTATTATTTCTACTAGTTTTCAAGTAGTTAGGTCAAGTTTTTATTATTTTCAGAGGACCTAGATTATTAAATTGG